CTTCTTATACACATCTAGATGTGTATAAGAGACAGGAGGGGGAGAGAGAGAGGGGGAGAGGAGAGAGGGGGAGAGGAGAGAGGGGGTGAGAAGGGAGAGGAGAGAGGGGGAGAGAGGGAGAGGAGAGAGGGGGAGAGGACGGGGAAGAGTTGTGGAATGGGGAGAGAAGAGGGAAAGAGTTGAAAAGCACATTTACAAAGCAGATTATCCTACATACCTGTACGGAGATTGGCCCCTTGCGCACATCGAAGTTTTCAGCGTGCACTTTTCCTGCAACGTCATCCCACTTTTCCTTCCAGTAAAACTGTGATGCAATTTCTGCCCAGAATCCATCTGGGTCGGCAATCGACCGCTCATACATGTTCTCATACTGCAAATCATGTGATTACCATCAACACAACCACGATCGTATTAGAAACACTACTTTATGACACCACGATCTTTTTTGAAGTTTTTTCTTTATTTGAAAAATTGTTTCTTTTTTGTGTTAATACCATGATCATATTTCAAAGCCAGTCAACATATATTGAAAAATGACAATTAGAAAAATAGTTGTTATTCTAAAAGATAGTTAACAGATTTTTCGCCGAAAAGAAGAAGAAGAAGAAGAAGAAGAAGAAGAAGAAGAAGAAGAAATCATTGTTTGTCTCACAGCACCGTGACCGTGATCGTATCACCAAACTGATTTATGTGAAAAGTAGTTAAAAGAAGTAGAAACTGTAATCAGACAATAGAAACCACTGTTGAAATATGGTAATCATTTGCCGAGAACTCTTTCACAGCAGTCGCTACGAACAAATTAGAAATTGCGCTTATGATTGGTAGAGGAGCAAGCACAGAGTGCAGGTCTCCAAACCAATCAAAAAATTGCAGACGGGGAGGCCTGACTGAAACAAGGCGCAGCACGTGCACGGAATCAACCCAATCCTCAAGACATGGCCAACACCAAAGATAGGAAGTAGAGAGAAAGAATGTGGCGGAGAAATAGGCTACCAGAGTGGGCCAGGACCACTTGCCTGGCCGGGCCAAAAAAAAAAAAAAAAAAAAAAGACTTTTTAATTTTATTTTTTATTTTGAATTTGGTAAAGGATTTCGATGTGACGCTGAGACACGAGTTTCTCACTTTATTTCTCTGCATAACATAGTTTTTTTGCTTGATTTTTTGGAATTTTGTTTTATTTTTATTTTTTGCTAGGACCTTCCCTGGTCCTTGCACGGCCGGCCCGCCCGGGAAAACAAGGTGACCCGGGCGGTCCGGCTGGTAGCCTAGGCAGAGGAGACAGAGGTGGGAGGTTAGAAGAAGAGGAAGTAGAAGTAGAAGAGAAACATAGTAGGGGGAGAGAGAACGAACCGTCAGCGTGAAAAAAAACAGGAATCCTTCAAAAAATAGTAATGGAGCAACAAGGCTCCTGCCGCAGACGTCCCTAGGCCGCTTTTCGGCCTCTTCCGCCGACGGCCATCATCAGGGGAACTTCGATGAGGCCCTTAGAATTTTGTGCTAAGGCCTCGCACTACGGCCTTGAAATGACTAAGACCACCATCTGCCCCCAAACACAACACACCCTGATCATTATGCTTATGATGACATTGTGCTGAGACCTCACACTACGGCCTGAAATGATTAGAGCACCATCTGCCCCTAAACACAACACACCCTGATCATTAATGTATATAGCCTATCTTCCCAATGCGATACGGTCAGGATGAAGGCGCGTTTTGTTCAGCGAAAGATGGTGGTTGTGTCACTCATAAGCTCACATCAAGAACGAATGATCGACTGTGAACCCACCACAGCCATCAACCATAGAATCAATGAAGAGTTTATTCCACATCCAAGCGTTGACACACGGTCTGACCGGAAGAACAAGGATCCACGACATAAAACATGCGAGTACGGGCTCTTGTGCTTCCGGTCAGACTGTTTCTAGACTGCCGATGCCTTCATCTGGGACATCGTTTGTTGACCCTCGCAAGCCCTTGTCCGCTCATGAACATGGAGAGCTAAGTTAAACTCTTGCAAAAGCCCTTTTCCACCTATGAACATGGAGGACTAACTACCGTCTTCACCCGAATAGAACGCCCGGTCATTATAGCTGTATTTGGCACAACTTTCAGCCCAGATACAGCGATAATTGCCGGGCGTTCTATCCAGGTGAAGGCGGTAGTAACAACTCTTGCAAGCCCTTTTCCACCCTGACAGGTGAAGCAACGGATCATCCTGACCGTGAAACCTACAAGTCGAACAGTGCCTAGTACCGTCTTCACCCGAATAGAACGCCTGGTAATTATCGCTGTATCTGGACTGGAAGTTGCCCCAAATACAGCTATAATGACCGGCCGTTCTATTCGGGCGAAGACGGTAGAGCATTTGGCTGAAGTGGTGAACCATTCAGGTCGAATCGGACAGAGGGCTTGTGGTACCTGACTAACAACAACGCTGGATCTCTGAGATGAAGTCGTAAATTATTGAAGGGAAAATTTTCGAAATCTCCAGCTTCCATTAATTTGCGCTATGCCCCTCGGGGGACGGCCAACTTACCCTGCCGCGCCCCTCTGACAATAATTGGAATTTCCCAAAAACCGCTGGGTTTGAAATATGTTCAATATGCCCCTACCTGTACCGGTTCCATATTTCCAGTATGCCCGGTAGTTCCCCTCCCAGGGCCAGGTGAACGGCCGCGAGTGCCATCAACGGCCACAGGGGCATGCTGGAAAGTTGCACCCCTCAATGACAGGGACCTGCAGGAAACTTCAGAGGCCCAAGAGGTACGACAGGGTAAGTCTGCCATCGGAGGGGCATACTGCAAATACATCGAAGTCGGAGGGGTATTTCAAAAACTTTCCCATTATTGAATCCTATGGTTTCGAGACGAGAAGTGAGTGTGCATGCGCGTGTGTACATGTGTTGCAAATCGCCGCCAGAATAACCCCTTTTCCACCCACATGAGTAGATCCAAAATTGAAATAGTTTTGCCTTAGAATCTTCTATAGCAGACAACATGACGCACACTGAAACCGTTGTATTGCCTTTTCCTTGTCCACTTCTTTCTTCACTTTTTTTGTGGTGTCTCTTTTACTTGTCCTCGCAGCTCCCCTTTCAATGTGCCTCGTTTTTAGTGTGTACGTGTGTGTGTCTGCGAGTGTGTCTGTGAGAGCACCAAACTACGGATTTGGGGGTTGAGAGTTCAAGTCTTTCCAAGCATGGGCCTATAACTCAGTTGGTTAGAGTATACGCCTGATAAGTGTAAAGTCAGTAGTTCAAATCTACTTAGGGTGTGCGTGTGTATGTTGCCATGCTCACTTTACACAACTACACAGGAAAAGGATGACTGTGCCAGACTGTTCCGTCGGACTTTCACCTACTCATCAGGAGGTTGAACCCCGACAGCCTGCCCAGGATGAATTCGACTGATCATGTTTGTGTGCGCGTGTGTACTATGTGTGTTGTAAACTCTCACCACAACAGCCCCTTTTCCGCCCCCGGCCGATGAACAAGTCCAAAGTTCAAACAGCTTTACCTCTATGCCAGACAATGAAGCACACCATGATCAGTAAATGATCAGTAAATTCAACATTTTATGATTTTAACAGTTAACTTTTAACAGTTTTACTACAGGTTTACCTCTATAGCAAACGACACGAAGCAAAACAAACGACACGAAGCAAAAAAATTGGCTACATTGTCTTCTTCCTTGTACTACACAAAAACAACACGAAGCACAACAAATCCACTACATTGCCTTTTCCTTGTACAGTCCGTTGTTCACTAGCTTTACTTTGGCTTTCGTTGGGGCACCCTTTTTATTCCTTTTACAGCTCCTGTTCTATTGTGCCGCTAACTACAACGCTTGCCGCATTGACTGTGATGGAGCACAGGCTGCCCACATCCCCTGTGTGTGTTCGTTGTCATGTTCGCTATACACAAGACTCCGCAAAGAAAAGGCATGACTTTGCAAGACTGTTTTCAAATTGTCGGACTTTCACCGACTCCGAGTCATCAGGAGGTTGAGCCTCGACAGTCTGCCCAGGATGCATTTGACTGGTAACCGATGGACAAGGCCTCACCACGTCGCCCAGAATTCACAATAATACCCCTAGGAAAAGTGGTCGACTTTACTCACACCGACCCTGCAACGCTAGCATGCAGGGTCTTGCGTTCTTGTAGAACCTAGTAAGAAACCCTAGCAAGCAAGCAGGGTCTTGCGTAAAAAGTTAAAACGCCACTCTACTAGCAAGCAGGGTTTTGAAATTTTAACCCTTTTGAAACCCTGCCAAGAACGGAAGTAACTCTACGAAACTAATCTATCACACCCGTAAAAAGTTAAAAACCCACTCCACAAACCCACTGAGCCATGGATACACAATGACATGACCACCAGTACGGTCCTGACCCTAGTCCCATAATTCCGCCGGCATGGAGAGCTTAGCCTGTTTGTGTGTGTGTTTTAAACTTCCCCCACAACAGCCCCAATTCCACCCAGATGAGTTGATTCAGAATCGAAGCAGCTTTTGTCCAAATGAGTTGAGAATCTTGAGACAGTCCAACGATTAAGCAATTTTACAATAAGACAATTTTACCTCTTTAGCAAGCAAGATGGAGCATAATAGAACCATTTAAAACTGTGTTTACTTTGGTTTTCCTTGGGGTATCCCTTCCATTGGTTCTTGCAGCTCCCCTTTTACTATGCCTTGCATGTACAAGGCTGCCAACATTGATTGTGGTTGAGCGGCAGCTGCCCACATCCCCGTGTGCCTTAACGGCCCTCTTGCACATTATGAAAGGAGGTCGAGTATAGGGGAAGGTATGCTCCTGTTCATTTCACTTCAGATCTTCTGCTTATACTTTGTCTGTTCTCTTAATGATGCTCAATTGTATGTTATTTGCTAGTAGCACATAAGGGGAGGGTAAAGGGAAAGGGGCAGGCAGCAGAGTTCTATACAGAGTGAGGGGCTGGGAAGGGGGAAAGGGTTGGAGAGGAAGTGGGGTGCAAAGGACAGAACAGAGATGTGATGAACCTCACAGGATTCTAAATACTCGTCGCCGGAGCAGACTAGTCTGGTGGCACATGAGGCCGTATAAGATTTTGAGTTGAGGAGCAGCCATTGCCTATGGTAAGCGGGCACCCCTACAGACCGGACATGCGACGCACCAGCTTCCACTCTCGCGCCATCTTTCAACCCCTCCCCCCCCCCCCCCCCCCCCCTCTTTTTCGATTTTTTGTTGTCTTTCAAACAGACCGAAGAGGCCCCTTTTTGAATTTCCATGAATTAATGCACATCGCTCGTGATCGGGGAGGCCCGTCCTTCTCAGGCCCTTCGTCATTTTGGGCCGCTTTTTGGAATTCCATCTTTTGCAATTCGGGAAATACA